GTTTATATATGTGTGTGTGTGTGTGTGTGTGTGTGTGTGTGTGTGGGCAAACACAAAAAATATTTGAAAATAATTATCAAAATAAAATTAATAAAAATATTTATTACTAATTATAACTAAAGTGTATAAATTTAATACCAGTCATTTAATGTACTAAAATAAAATATATGATATAAACGTTCGATAAATAATGATCTATCTCTCAATGCTGATATCTCTCAACTATGCTGTTAATGAAAAGCGACTAGTATAAATTAATAATCGAATTGAAAATTTATTTACTTTTTATTTTAGCAATAAAATTAAAATATTTGAGATGTATAAGACAAAAATGTTGTTTGTAAAAACAATATGGATATGTACTAATATTTAATATACATACTAATGCATGTACTTTCATCATGTATTACACACGTTTTCAAGAAAAAATTAGATTCACAGTTCATAATATTCTTGACAGTATAAATTTTTTTCTGTAAGATTAAAAATGATGTCCGTAAAACGTGTATAAAATTTACTATTTTCTTACATATTCCTGTAAGTTTGCAAAAACAAATAAGTTAAACAAGAAATAATCGTCGTAAAATTAACAAAATTATTGCGGAAACTAATGAAGCGATAAGAATACTCCAAAATAAATCATTTGAAGACGACATTGTCTCTACGCGATTTAGGATAATCTCAGGTTGTTGATAATCCGCATTTTCTTCCGTCATCGTTTCTACGTTAGTACGGTGTAGTATTTCACTTTCGGTTACATTTGTTGTTTTATCCGTAAATAACACGTCTGACGTTGGCGAATCATCGGCCTATAATTTTTTTTACAAATACATTCATTAAGTTTTTGCGGAATATTTTCATAACATATGATAATCATACATATACACACATATACAGGGTCAGATTAGTTGAACGAATTTTTTACTCTGAGAAAATTATTGATTACACATCTAATTATAGACTTACAGATACAGATCGGATGCGTGGATAACATCGTGCGAACTGGTTTGAATTTGAGCGTGAAAACAGACACGTTTGAGTTGTGAAAATTATTACAAAATACTAAAAATGCGCCTTTTTTTCAGTGTGCCTATAGTAATTCGTATATATCCACACATCTGATCTGTATAGGTAAGTCGATAATTAGATGTATAATCGATATTTTTAGGTATGAGGTCATAAAAAATTGGTCAACTACTCTAATTCACCCTACACACACACACACACACACACACACACACACACACCACACACACACACACACACACATTTGTTATAACAACAGACACGTTATAATAGAGATAGATTTATAATATATCGCTTATCGCTACAATAACGTTATTCCTAAAAAATTGTCATTGTAATTTACAGAAAAAGAACATATACAGAAACAAAAGAATGTACTTTTATTCCTCTACAATTAATTATTAGGTATAGTAAAAAGTCATCGCGTATTTTTAAAAGACATCTATCTGTAAAAACCGCAATTACTTTCTTACCAACAATATAAATATATCTTAATACAGTAAAGTTTCAGCTTTAAAAATCTCTTTTTTAAATTATACGATACGACAATTTTTAATGGAGTTATGAGCAATTAAAGTTTAAAAATAATTCTTTTATTTAATCCGCGATAACTCAGTAATCAAAAGTCGTAGGAATATTAAAAAAAAAAACGATTTTGTAGGGAAAGTATCAAGCTTTCACGATATGTAATCGCAAATTTTCTCAAATTAGTTTTGGACACGTTACAAATCCACAAAGTGAGAAGAAAATTTTTCGTCTTTTTCAGCTCGTAGTTTTTGGTATGTAAAAATTATCAAACTCATATAAACTTAAAAAATGTGATAAGCTTTTAAAAGTAGAGATTTCAAGCTTTAAAATCCTTTTTTTAAATTTGAATTTCATTCATTATTGACGAAGATATTGTATATATAACTTTGAGCTAAAAAATACGCGATGACTTTTTACTACACCTAATATTACATCAAAATTGCATTTCAAAATTAATATTACAAAATTTTAATGATTCAAAACATTCAAACTTATTTTTTTTTAGAAAACTGTTTTTTTGAGTTGTGTTATAGCAAATAAGTGATAAATTCTTTCTCAACTATATTATATTTATAATAAGTATTTAAAAACATGCTTACTTTAAGAGCAATTGTTTTCAGCATGGTTTGCTCCTCCTCGGTGATAGGTTTCTTAATTGAATTTTTCGACAACAAGTTCACAACTTTACCACAAGTATCACATTGCCAATTTAACGATCTGGAATGCAAGGATTGATTACGAGACTAAATCATATGTTTGCAATGCGTTTTGTGTTTAATTACAGTATGTAATATAATACTTTTTAGCAAGTTTCTGTCGTTCCTCAGTGCTATAATCTAATGCTCCAATTGTGCCACTTCCAGGTGTAGGCATGAAAGCTATCAGGGCCAGTAATGCAGTTCTAATACTCCACGATGGCTGCCATGTTTCAGGATGGTGACCAGAGATACTCAGGCATATCTTCTTGTTTGTTTCGAACCGTCCATTTGGCTAAATAAAAAAAAATATATGTGACAACATAATATCATGATATAACAATTTATATGTTACTCATTGCTGATGTCTACTTACTGTCAACAGGATGATATTTGGTGGCTTCATAGGATACTCTGGTGGTAGCAAGATTCTTCCATGATAAACACCACCTTCGAAGTCTGTCGACGGTGGTCCTTGCACTGTGAAATGCCATTCGAACAGGTTGTCTTCAAGAGGAGATGCATAGTATTCTTCAGTGGCTTCGTGCAACTCTTGTGCCTCTCTCATTAATCTCTTCACCGCTAAGATACATATACTTAATAAGAAAATGGTTTTAACTTTGTAATACTTAGAAATCTTACTAAGATATCAATTGTGTTATTCGACAATGCATATGTTATTGATACCAACGTTATTTGGTAGCAGATAAGCAGGAATATATCAACATATACATAAAACATTTTTACGTCATCATGGGATAATTATGCTTAAAATACGACCGTCGTGTAGAAGTGATACGAAAGCTCTACCGATATCGAAAGTTGAGTAGCTGGCAATCACGCTGACATCCACGAGTACAATAGCATAGAAATATGTCAGAGTTGCGCGGCTAATGCGAGTCAAAACAAACGTTTCGACCGGCGTAATTTGCGCATTGACTTCGACTTACCCGGACTCTTGGCGTTGTATTTGCCTTCGAATGACATCTTCGATAACTTTTCCCGGGCACTTTCTTTTCGTTGAGGCGCAGGTTGAAGAACCAAGAACGGGAAAACGATGCGGAGCGTCTTTCTCTACCGATTCCAGATCTCACCGACGCACTAATCGATGAAGCGCGTCCCGCTCACATATTCGTAGTCGGCGTGTACACACGCCGATTTCTCTGGACGATTTTTAATGTCAATCCCAAGTTTCGACGTGGACTGGTCACTCTATACAGCTCTAAATCGCTCACTGTGAACGTAAACGCGAGGACGTGACGTGACGTGGTAAACCTCGCTGTGCTTTGGCGCTCGCGCGCTTCTATTTATTACTAAACCAGAGATGGTTGGGGGAGGGGATGCCATTTTGCAGACGCTACGGCATGTGGAGGGGATAGGATGGCAAGTGGCGGCAATGCTGACTCTATGTCACGCAATATACAGTAAAGAATCAGTGGCTGCGTTCAGCAGAGAAAATTAATCAGTTATCGTTTAGTGATTCTTTAATATGATTGGTTCTTGCCTTTAGTTCTTCGCTAAATCTAAGTGTAGGAACCAATCGTATTAAAGAATCACTAAGCGCTAATTGAAAAGAATCATGTCACAATATTATATAACAAAATCGTATAATTAAGATAAGTAAATTTTTTAAAATCACGTGATATTAGAAATAATTTTATCCATCCTATGATTTTATAGCCGAATATTATCGAATTTTAAAGAATCGAATAATAGACATAGAAGAAAAAGAATATTTATCATTTGCTTTTCAAATTATGCAATTTAAAAAAAATCACACACTGATTTGAAAAAATTATCCGAAATGTGATTTACTTGTTTTAATTACATAATTTCGTCATGTAACTCTATGGCGTGATTTTTTTCAGTAAGGATTAGTTTTTTCTGCCGAATGCAACCATTTATATCGGCCGTAATCTGTAAGAATTGATATCAATCATAGGTCAAATCATGATTATTTCCCTCTCATTTCATGATTGGTTAGTTTTTACACATTATGATATAAATTTAACAGCTAGATTACAGCCACTATAAATGATCCTCAAGGACAAGAGTACAGATTCTTGCAAAAAAGAGGGTTTCTAAGCCATTATCATTAAATCAGAAGTCAGAAGCTAAAAATTAATTAATATCACAGTCAAATGTGAGGAAAAATAATCGATTACGATTAATGAATTTTTAGATTCTGACTTCTAATTTATTATCAATAAATTATTGTAGAATGCCTTCAAAGGTGAAGTAAAACTTCAACAATAAATCGACATTAAATTTCCTACAACTTGTATTAATATCAGGAAAGAGTTACTTCGTAAAAGTTACTGTCATCGATTCTTTTTGTAAAAAATAACTTGTTACTAACCTTCACTATATCTATCTAAACGGTTTCTCCATTTCAATTTTCATTTAAAAAGAACATACGTTTTTCCAAATAGCAGATTATTATGGCTGACAATAGAAACTTTAAAAATATTTCAAACATTCATTAACTTGGTTTATCTTTCAAGTATATCGTATGTAAGTATATATATCTCTTATCAAACTTTTCTCTATATCTTATATCTAAACGATTTCTCCGTTTTAACTTCCATTTGAGAAAAAAAAAAATACATTGTTCCAAACAGTCAATTTATTGTGGCTGACAATGGAAACTTCAAACATTCATTAGCTTCGTTTATCTTTTACGTGTTATCGTATGTAAATATATATTTATTAAACTAGTCATCAGTATATCTATTTAAATCGATTTTTTCATTTTGAGTTCTGTTAAAAGAAAAGACGTACAGTTTTTTCCAAGTCTATTCGGGCTGACAATAGAAATTTTAAAAGTTACGACAAGCTTTTTTCAAGTAATCATGAAATCATATTATGCAAATTTTTTTTCATTAATCTACAAAAATTTATCACGATATAATATGTACGTCTTGATTCTCAATAATAAATATAAACAATTTCCATAACAAAATTATTTTTTCAACGACACTACTCCTCCGTAATAACTAGATTCGTATTCACGCCTTATTTTTACCGATAAATGCGCACATTTAACATACAGTTTACGTTATATATCATATATCATGTATTGTATAATACTATAGTATATACTATAAATCTCAGAAATAAGTAATAATACGCATATTTATCAATAAAATCGATGTAAATACGGAATGTCATAATTACGCTATTAACATTCAATCTTCGTGTGAATAAAAAGTATGATAAATAGGAAGTATTTAACGACACATGCAATACGAGTTTTTTTCATGGAAATTATAGACTTTATTTTTAGAATATTCTAAATATCATAAAACAACGTAAACATTCACAACAGATGGGAATAGGGTGTTATTTATAATAGTAATAATAATGTCGTTATGTTATCGTAATAATTAATCGTTACGAATATATCGTCATGACGTATTTATAATTATGTATAAGTAAGATTTCCTTTTATTTACTTTATAATAATTACTCATCGTATTCTCTTCACACGACAATGATAATTATAATAGTGAAGACGATATCAATAATGATAAGAATCGTGTAACCATAATAATGATAATAATAATAGTACCGATGCGTCTAATATACGCGCGTGTCATGTATTTATGTATATATAAACAAATATAATAAGTATATACATATATATGTGTGTATGTG